AAAAGAGGTATTTGTCTCGTGGAAGAATCCAGTGGGAGTTTGTGAGTTACACATTACAGATGACCTCTGAATGAGAAAGTGTGTGTTTTTGTCAGCTTGGAGGGTTCAACAGATACAGCAGAACAATAAATTACAGAGCACATTCAGATTTAAATAAAGGTCATTTTTAGAACAATTTTAGTGTATTTTATTTTTTTAAAAAGAGAGAGAAAAATGGTGGTATACATTTCTTGGTCTACTGACTTTGTGTACATATTTTCCTCTCATTTACCTAGATCCAGATATGACAGTGTCGTCATTGTTTGCAGTGAAGGTGATCAGTTTCTCGCACTTCCCCTTACTCTTCAGGGAAAATGTCAGTTGTTCCACTGAGTAAACATATATCCTTTAAAGGTGCTGTACATGACATTCAGAATGTGGGCTGAAATGTCTGCAGTGCACACAGCTCTCAAATGTATAAGAGCACAGTCACACATGAATGAAATCGTCAAGTATTCACTTCCCATTCACATCACTTCAATCCAAACACAGTGGCGAATAAACATTAGTGAAGCAAATTCACATCTTTGCATCACGAGGAGTCAACTTCAGCGAAGTTTGACCGACAAAGTCGCAGCCTCAACCCGTAGCAAAGGAGTGTGTGTGGAGGGGACCCTGACAAACTGCCCCACATGAGAGATGCTGCCTGGCTGGCACTGAGTCAGGAGACAGGCATGGAACATAAGAAAATAGAAAATGCACCAATAACATAAAAATTTGAGGTATTTATTAGCAAAATAGCTAACATTAGCTAGCGATAACATTTCGAAGAGCCGCACAATTTAATCATTTTATCCTGGTTCAAGTTAGCAGAGGGCTATACTGGAAATACTGGGACCACAGGGTGGACATTAGTCTATGCCTCTGCACTGACACTTTCATTCTAGACTCAACTAAAACTCTTCTACTATCTGTCCTCATTGGACAAAGAGCTGTTTCTGTTTGTTTCTGATCAACATGTGAAATTCCTCACCTGCAGAACTCAAACTGGACCCTGACTGGAATTATTTCAGCCTCAAAGTAAAACAGTTTCTGATGAAGAATCAGTTATGTAGTCACCAGTGATTGGCTGCTTCTTGTTTTTTTAATCCTTTATTGTATCATACTTGCTGTCTTGTACTGTTCTGTCTGTAATTCCTTGTTGAGTTCTGAGGTTTGTGTTCTTACAGTACGTATTTATTGTTGAGATTGTGTCTTGCACTGTCTCTTGTGTATTTTTTATTGAGTATTCTGTATTTAAAAGGCCCACCTTGGGACAGGCATCGCATATCAGCTAAGGCTGTAAATGCTGTTGTGTTGGGAATCATTTTATGGTATATACTTGTCCCTATACAAATAAGCATTTAACGCAGTAAATAAATATATTTAAAAATAGTTGTTTGCTGCCATGTGAATGTTCAAAATTTTAGTTTAGGACTTTTTTTCAGCAAACCAGTGGAATTTACAGAGATACAGATCTCTAACGGTTAAATACGCTCTCTTAAAACATGGTAATCTTTTCACATGACCAGAAAATGTGGGAGTGATTAGCAGAACATTTGTCTATACAATTAAATGTTTTACAATTTATTATTAAGGTAATGGGTGATAACAAAAATTCAGTCTTCCGACTAAGTTGTAGTTTGTAGATGTGTGTTGTGCTACATTTAGATCTGATTCCCTTTTTAGTTTGACATATAGAGGATTAATGTCTGTCATGGTTATTATGAAACAACATTTGGGAATGCAGCTCGTATATGAGCTTACTGTACAGTCTGAGATCGCCGGATATGATAACCATGAACTTAATGTGGTGAATCTTCTTATGAATAATCGAGAGGTGGTGGGTGAGTGAGCAGGAGGTACTGCATAGAAGCAATGTATGTCTGTTTGTGTGCGTGTCATGTGGGTGCATCTGATGATGATGATGATGATATCATCCTGCAACATCTTGCGGTCGGTTTGTGTTTGCAAGTTGGAATAAAACAGTCAGACACGGAGGTGAGATTTCACACACGAGGAAACACACTCTCACACACTCTTAAGACTACAGTGTTAACATTCAGCATCACAGCACAGGTCCGGACAGGAGTCCAAGATACACAAACACACAATTCACTCAAAGCCACACTGAGCCGGCCCTGAGCAAACAAACAGAGCCATCGGTACAATACAATGGAAACAGAATGAGAAAGTGATCTCTAAGTGTTGCTAAAAACAGAAAAGCACTTAGAACTGAAAACAGAAGTGAAAAGTGGACGTTTCAGGCATGTGTGGTGAAAAAGCCCACACACTTAATGTTCTGTCCCGAACACAAAAAGTCAGGTGAGAAAGTGAAACGGGGAGACCGAGGCAGAGACCGTGGCCAATAATGAAGAAGTGTAAAAACCAGTTTGTTGAGCTGCATCATGCTCAGTTATGAAACAGAGGACAGTTGCCAAGTTTTGTTTCAACACAGTTTTCTCTTTTGAGATTGAGGTCAAATTAAAAAAAGAACTGTGTTTTGATGGGAGAGTGATATAGGGAAAAAGAAAAGCATCTCCAAAAACCACAATAAGGTTTTCCCGGGGCATTTTAGGAATTATTTATTTACTTAGTGATATTTTACATCTTACAATCCCTCGCTTATGTTTTTGTTTGAGCATCTCTTTTAGTGTTTGAGCATATCTTAAATCTAAAAAAAACAAAACATATTTTTAACTCTTACCTGTAGTGTTATTTATCAGTCTAGATTGTTTTGGTGTGAGCTGTTGAGTGTTGGAGATATCACCCATAGAGATGCTCGCCTTCTCTCCAATGTATTAGACCTCGATGGCTCTCAGTTTGTGGTCAAACCACACACACACACACACACACACACACACACATGCACTCAAAAGAACAACAACAACAACAACAAACTAACTGACAGACAAATCTGAAAAACTCAACATCAGTGTCTCTTTCCAGAAATCATGACCCAGTTACTCGAGATAATCCACAGACCTTGTTGTGAGCAGTTTCATGCAGGAACTATGGGCATATTTAGTAACTTTCATTTTCAGGTGCTAGAAATAATCATTATAGAGCACTTGAGTACTCACAAAAAGTCACATAAGAACAGGAATATGAATTGACCAACAACAGAAAACAAGTGCAAGTTTAAATTCATTTATTTAACAACTGGGCTTCAATTATCGTATTAAACCGTATTCAAAAAACAAACTTAATGTCGCTGCTGTTCAGTTAGATGTAGCATGGAGGAACCGTCTCCATAGCCGCTCTCTTCCTGTTCAGTTCAACATCTGTGCGATTAGTATGAGCTAAGACAGCAGCAGTGGCTAACATCCAATGCTGAGCCATTAAATGGTCCCAAAAAACACTCACATCAACACAGAAACGGCTGTTAGCTGTGTGATGCTAACAGTAAGCCCTGTCAGTGTGTGTATGTGCAGGCAGACTCTGAGCTCCACCGCAGCCGTAGTCTCATGATAAACAGAGAGAGAGCAACAGTGGGACAAGAAGGCACTGAGCGAAGTGATACGCTGCACACAGTTCTACAATGAAATAAAATTGTATCCATTTTGAATAGTAAAAACATATAAAAGTCATGATCACATGTGGGAGGTTGGTTGGAGATTACTCTAAGTGAACAAATACTGATGTCCAAGCAAGTACTCCTCATAGGGAATATTTTCTTTCTACTGAACAACACCCGCCAACCGTATCACTGCGCAGAAGGAAGTGTGCATCTACTGCTAGCTCACCTAGCGACACCGAGCTAGCTGACGTTACAGCTCAGCCGTGGAGGACAGGCTTGTGACAGCATGAGCCTCTTGTTCATGAGTAGATGCACGCTTCCTTCTGCGTGGTGATACATTTGGTGGGTGTAGTTCGGTAAAGAGAAAATAGTTCCGACATTCAACTGCTCACAACAAGGTCTGTGGATTATCTTCAGTAACTGTGTCATGATTTCTGTAAAGAGATATTGCTGTTGAGTTTTTCAAATGGTTATTTTTTGGCACTTTGAGCACCACAAGCTGAGTGCCATCTAATTACATTATATTAGAGTGTAGTCAGACATCTCTACGGCTGATATCTCCAACACTCCGCAATTCACACCAAAACAATCTCAACTGATAAATAGCACTACAGGTAAGAGAAAAAATATGTGTTCTTTAACGTGGGGGTGAACGGTCCCTTTAATGTTGTTTTAAACACTTTTATGCAGTCAGATCTCTTGTGAAAATATGATCTTAATCTCACCAGGAGTCTGTGTAAACAGATGACTGTTCAGAGTTTAGGTATTTGGCGATGTATCTGTGGTTACTGAACCTCTACTTATACCATAAACATAAAAATTTAGCATTTAACACACTAAACTGTAGTGATTAGCAGATATATGTAATTATTTATGTATTCAATAAACAACTACAACTTCTCCTGTGGGCATCCAAAAGTGTATGCTGGTATTTTAAACACTCAAACATGTCCTTCTACCAGCTTACAACAAAATAGGTGATTAACAGGTGATTGTTTACACAGTCCACACATTTTTGTGGTATTTCAAAACATCTGGTCTGACCTCTGAATGTTGGTGAGCTGTGGATTTATGTGTAAACCACAGCAATTACAGACAGAGCTTACATTCTGTGGGTGGCTCGAGTCAGTAATGAGCTCAATATGTTTTTATGACTTTGTGTGCAATGTTTGTGTTTGTGCATGAATGTCTGTGTGTGTGTGTGATACAACATTGTGTAATTTTTCAAAAACCCAAAAGTGGAGACCATTCACTTTCCCCATCCTGAAACCGCGACTCCCGTTGCGCTCTGGTAAAACTCCACTAAAAATTCTGTGACTTTTCTTTCCCTCCCAGCCGCGTCTCTTTTCTCTCCGTGGCTCGGGTCGCTCTGCTGCTGCCGCTGCTGCTGCTGCCTCCTGCACTGTCTCCGCTTACAGGGTGACATCACTGGAGTTTCCCTTCCGCAGTAGCAGCTGCCACAGCATAAATACTACAAGCTCTCTGGCAGAAGTTCACTCTTAACACAATAGCAACACAAAGAGAGAAGTACCACCACAGAAACAGCGTCCGGCCAAGTTTAGTTGGTAGATTTTTCTAAACTGCAAGAGGACTCTAAAGATCAGACTTGTGCACAGTATGGTGGCCTACACGACTGCACCTGGTGATGTGGAGATGGGTCCTGAGGAGAGGACGGTGGTGTTGGTGGAAAAGAAATCCTCTGCTGTTCGGATATGGAAGGTGTCCGTGGCCCTTCTCATTGTGGCCCTTTGTATAGGAGGTGTCCTGCTGTTTGCTTGGTACTGGAGCGGAAAGCTAGACATCACGGTAAGGACCAGCTCTGCCTTTCTGAATTTGACATTTTAAAATTTGGCATTTTCTGTCAGAGAAACAGAGAGAATGTCTTTGTTCATATCTCTAATCAGTGTTTTTTTCCCCATCCATACAGACGCAATCAGGCCAAAGAGAAGCACTAATCAAGTCGGACACTGCTGAGAAAACAGGTGATTATATTCACGGGTGCTCATGTGAAACAAAAAAATGCTAAGGGGGGTTTTGTGAGATGTACTTGGATTATTAGACAAGCTCACATTTGTCTTCCTCTCCTCAGATCCCCACTACACTTTGAGTCGAATCGGCAGCAAAGCCAAGGCAGCAATCCACTTAGAGGGTGAGTCACAGCTTACCTTGATTTGATCCTCGGCAAACAAAAGAGACTCTTTCTTTACCTTGTGTGTTAGTCAGGGGCCTTATAAGGAAGTTGTTCCACACGTTATTCATTGGCTTCATTCATTCCACTTTCCTAATGACATGCCTGTTGATTATTAAACACCCTGTGGAAAGAGGAACCAAAGTGTTGCAAGGCTGTAACAGCGCTTCGTCTTGCTCTGTTTCCAGGTAACTACGAAGACTGCGAGAGTTCGAAACACCAGCTCGAGTGGAGAAACGGTCAAGGCCAGGCGTTTGCTCAGGGTGGCTTCAAACTGGTGGACAACCAGATCATTATCCCACAAACTGGCCTCTACTTTGTCTACAGCCAGGCGTCGTTCAGAGTCTCCTGCAGCGATGGTGACGAGAAGGGAGCGGGCAGGCGCCTCATGCCTCTCAGCCACAGGATCTGGCGCTACTCAGACTCCATAGGCAGCAGAGCCTCGCTGATGAGCGCCGTGAGGTCAGCGTGTCAGAGCACGGCACAGGAGGACAGCGACGGAGACGGAAAGGGCTGGTACAACGCCATTTATCTGGGCGCAGTGTTTCAGCTGAACAAAGGAGACCGACTGTGGACAGAAACCAACCAGCTATCGGAGCTGGAGACCGACGAGGGCAGAACCTTCTTTGGTGTGTTTGCACTTTGAAATGACTCTTTAATGTGAAACAAAGAAAGTCGATACGAAGCTCTGCAGATGCCATACGTTTTGGCTTTTTTTTTTTTTTTATGTATTTTGTTTTTAATTATTATTCATCTTCACAATGAAGTGTTTAAATCTCAATGGAGATAAAGTTTGTAGCCGAACAGGCTTTTTTATTTTTATTTTTTTAATCCTATAAACTGTAACAGTTTGCAATATTATTTCTATTTTAGGCACTTTTTGTACATTATTTATGCTGACCTGAGATTGTAGACTTTCTCTGCTGTATCAGATACAGACACAGCTCTTCGTTGAGAGAGTTTAGGATTATGTACAGAACTGTTATCACGTACTTTTACAACCTGTGTATTTATTTGTATTTATTTATATTTAAATTGTTGGGATTAGGTTTTTAAGATTTTATTTATATACTTTATGTGCACATACATTGAATTAAAATGTGAAAAAAAAGTCACAAGTACGCATAATGAACTCATTTCATAGCTGAGATACCAAATAGAAATTTGAGTTGGCAAACAGCTCCAGCAGTAGCGCTGTCTCTCTCTCATACACACACATACACACACACACATGCACTGCAGCGGGCTCGGTCTACTATTTGGCAAAAATTGCGATGAAATTCCTCCGCAGACAGCAAATACTTCCTTTGTTAGATCAGACACGATGAGGGGAATTTCCTACTTTTTGTGCTGCTGCGGAGTGCTGTGTCAGGTGGAGGCCCACAGAAGCCTCAGCCCAGAGCGGGTTTTCCCCAGTGACACCCCCCTACCACCACTACCACCACCACCTCCACCCTCTCTCCCATACACAACCTCCCCCCTCCTCCACACCATCCTCCCTCTATTACCACATACTTCATCTTCAGTCAGCTGGAAAGAGACATGACATTAGAGGGTGTGTGTGTGTGTGTCTGTGTATGTGTGACTGTTCAGTGTGTTTATGTGTGGGACTACAACACAGCTGGCTTCGTCACATTGTCATGTAGAAACCCACATTATACAAATGTCGGATGTACTTGGGAGCCATTTGTCTCCTTTAGTTTCTTTTTATCCACAGACATCCACTTATTGTCTCAGTAACGAGGTTCCCGCTGGCCTTCACAGCTGGTCACTGTGCTGAAAACCACTTCCTCCTCTCCGTTTAATGATCTCTTCTTCTGGGTTTATTTGCTCTTTGACTCCCGCAGGCCGACCTGGAGAAAAATATCAAGTTTCACTGACAAATAAACTCAACCAGACAGAGTTAATTGCTCCAAAGGTCAGTGTGAGTCAGAAAAGCAATAAATAACTGGTGACATCTAGTGGATGATGTAATCATGCTTGTCTGTGTAACACAGGATGTTGAGACTCTCAGGGAGCTGTTCAAAAATAGGTTCATGTTTTTAAAAATATAAAATGATTTAAATTAAAGGAAGAATGTGTGAGATTTAGGGGGATTTAGAGGCAGCTAGTGGTGAGGACTGCAGAAACGTCTCCTGGTTAGAATTCCTTCAGTGTTCATTGTTCAGAAGGTTTTTAGTGGGAGCTGAATTATCCACAGAGGTCTCTTTCTCCCTCAAACAAATGGTCCAGGTGATTTAAACCAGACAAAAGAATAGAGCAACAGAATAAAGCAGTATCACATTACAAATCAGTGTTTCTAGGAACAAGGACAAGAAACTGCTAATGTGTGCTCACCTTTTTTCTCTGATGTGTTAACATCCAGACGTTCAGGAGTTTTTTACGGGGAGCTTAATTATCCGCAGAGGGAGGTCTCTTCCTCTCCAAAGCCACGAACCCTGTGATTTAAACCAGTAAAAGTACTGAATAAAGCAGTTTCATGTAACAAATCAGTATTTCTCTAACACATTGAGCACATCTGAGACAAGACACTGCTGATATGCGCTCACCTTTTTTCTGAATCAGACATTCAAGAGATTTTTACCAGTCTCTTCCTCTCCAGAACAAATGGACCTGGTGATTTAAACCATAAAAAAACACTAAATAAAGCAGTTTCACATAAAAACATTTAGTGTTTCTCATACGCTGTTTTGCTCGTTGGAAATGGGCCTCTAGCCCATCACCTGCTAATGTGTGCTCACCTTTTTTGTCTGTTAACATCCAGACATTCAGGAGATTTTTACAGGGAACTAAAGCTATCCGTAGAGGTCTCCTCCTCTCCAAAACCATGGACCCTGCAATTTAAACCAATTTAAATACTGAATAAAGCAGACTCACGTTACAAATCAGTGTTTCTCCAACAGTGTTGGACACGTTTGAGACAAGGAGCTGCTAATGTGCGCTCACCTTTTTTCTGAATCAGATGTCATGGAGGTTTTTATTAGGAGCCAAATTATCCGCAGAGGTCTCCTCCTCTCCAGAACAAATGGACCTGGTGATTTAAACCGGTAAAAATACTGAATAAAGCAGTTTCACATAAATAATTAAGTGTTTCTCCTACACTGTTTTGCTCGTTGGAGATGGGCCTCTAGCTCAGCACCTGCTAATGTGTGCTCACCTTTTTTTCTGTTAACATAACATCCAGACATTCAGGGGCTTTAAAAAAAAATACCCATAGAGGTCTCTTCCTCTCCAAAACCACGGACCCTGCAATTTGAACCAATAAAAAAAACTGAATAAAGCAGTTTCAAGGTCAAAAGGAGTGTTTTTCATATGCTGTTCAGCACAGAGGGGCTGCTAACTACAGTTGCCGAATTGACAATGTGAATGGCTCTATCTAGAGCCAGTGTTTGGTTTGTCTGTTCTGAGCTACTGTATTAAAGTGTTGGTGCAACATTGGTAGACTTGTGGACAAGGATCTGCTCCCTGTGGACATATAAAGGCTCATTCTAATGTCACAAAAACACAAGGTTCTTTTTTTCAGGTGAATATTAGTCTGAGTGCGCGGAAGTTCGCTGCATAGATCAGCCTCTCATTGGGCGGAACGAGCCACCCGCTGAAGTCCCGCCCTACCACCTCCAGTTGTGTAGCAGTTTTCAACCGTTTTCAACACGTCCTTTACTAACTTTTGCGGTGTTTGGTCTTGCTGGGATGTAGCCATTTTTCTGCCATGGTTCGCGTCCTGTAGGCGATATTTTCGTGGGTGTGTTACACCAAAACCCGTTGCTGTGGCACCGCCCAGAACGATTGTGATTGGTTGAAAGAAATACAAGCAGCCGGGGCGTTTTTTTCTCCAATCTTAAAGTGAGAGTCGGCCCAGCCAGACCTTTCTTTTCTTGTGAAAGGTCTGGTGAGCGAGACTAGGTGAGTATACACTGACATACTTATTATATTCCATTTCTGCTAATACTTCCCCCCAAACCACTGAACCTTTTGCATGGAATTTTTACTTTTTAAAACAGCGTTACCTGAGCTGTAAAAAAAAAAAAAAAATTCCACACTTTCAGGTAATTACAGTTTCACTTCAGTTTAACAGCACAGTGTTTTGAAAATCAACCCTGTAATTCCCTGTTTTTTATGTATTTCCACTGAGCTATCACCGAAACACAAAAATACCCAATGAAAAAACAATTATTTTATTTATGGTACCCATATATTTGCATACACATACTCTGAAATATATTAACATTTAAGATCTTAGATATAGTGAATACAAATATCCCCAAATCCATGTATATTGTCATATATGTGCAAGATAATAGAACATTTCCTAAATTATTTCTGCATTCATATGTTACACTATCTGATCCAGGTGCTGCACAGTTAATAAATATGGCCTATTTCATTCATATGTGTCCTCCTCCATACCCTGAGCTAAGATGTATTAGAATAACAGCAACATAAAGTGGAGTAACCATAGTTTGTTCAGTTTAAAGTGCACGCTGACATTTATATCTTTAAAAATATTTGAGTTTTACCTGCTTATAACGCTCATCAGGTATCATTGCTTTATAAAATCTGGAAATAGCTCATGAATGAAATAGTACATCCAGATTAACTGCTGACTAAATACGGTTTGTCACATTACTTGACGTATATTCTTCTTTGATACATTTACAGTTCACCGAAAGGCAAAATGGGAAAGTAAAGTACAAAATAAATAAATTAGCATCCATCCAGATTGTCTGTAATGGGAAAACATGAAAAAAAAATCCTTTAAAATAAAAAAGGCTCACCAGATGGACGTATAACAGATTCACATGTATAAAAACTGTGCTTTCTCTGAATATCTACAGAAATAGCCATCGCAGAAGCCCCACATCTCACCGCACTGCTGCTGTAGAAATATAAATTGGCTTTCATTTTCAGGAGGCGGAAAGTAGAAACTATTCCTATGGCAAGTTGGAAGTTAACATCTCGAACCGTTTCTACCTACAAAATGTGCAGCTGCAGTGACTGTGGCTGCAGCGGTAGCCGCCATGTCTGCAAAATACATTAGATGCAGGATGAGGGGTTTATTTGATGGCTACTACTGTACTATACTGTGAAGTAGATACAACACAAATCTCAAAAAAATACAGTGTAAAACATTATTTCAAATGGCAAAACTATCAAAATTGTCCCTATACATGAGCAAGCTTGGATCCTCCTTTAAAATGGGTCTAATATTCAGCAAAGGACTGGATTTGTAAGATGCAGTTTTGTACTTGAATACACAGTCCTGACAACATGCCAAGCTCCTGGGCCCCATCTAAATTATGGCTATTTAATAATGCACATTATCACTTGTCAGTGACACCAGTGCTCCTCCCAGTCGAGCTCTTCAGAGGAAACATTGGGGAAAAAACTGTACATTGCTTTGTCCCTTTGTGAATTTCAGTTTTTCACAACTCTCCTGAAAAGTAAACGATTAATTTAACAACAACTCCATGACAAAACAGATCAGATACTACAGAACAATATAAATCACTACTGTATGTGCTTGCCTAGTCAACAAACTCGACAGACAAACGGTGGAGACGATATAGCAAAGACACAAACACAAAACGTTTCCTTTTCAGATCCTTGACGCTGTGTCTCCACAACAGAACGAGATAACGAATAAGGGAGAGGAATGATTGAGAGATCTATCTGTTCACATGGCCTCTGACGAAAGACCTCGAGTGCTGCTAGTCTGACCAGTCACAAGTGCCTCGCTGCTGGAGTTGAACACAGTGAGATCAAAACTGTGAGGACGGGTGTTACCTGCGTGACTCTCCCCGAAGCTGCCGAGTGTAAAGCACTCCTGTGTACTTATTTGTGCTTCCACACCGTATTTTTAAAACAGTGTCACTACAGCGCTGTGCTCATCGCCGAAACAAGTGAAAGCCACAGTGTCTCGTGTTTTGTGTCCCCTGTGTGTGTGTGTGCACTGTGCGACTGTCCCACCCCTCCCCCTCCCCCCCAGTGCCTCGCCTATTTATACAGCAGTGGGATCTGGCTGTTGTGACAGTGGTTGCGGCTCATCTTGCTGTCAGCCGGGTAGAGGTTGGAGGAGTTGGAGAAGGAAGGCGGGAGGGAGTGATTGTCCGTGGTGGGGTTGGGGTAGCCGGGAGGGGGAAGCAGAGACTTGGGATCTGGCTGGGAGGAGGGCGGCGGTGCGTTGTGGTTCTGATTCTGGCCTGAGGAGGGTCGGCGGCGGTTGCGTAGAGCCTGTCGCTCAGCCAGCTGGTTGCGGAGTGCCGATACTCTCTCTTCTTTCTAGAGACACAACGAGAGGAGAGAGATTATTGTAGTCATGTCTGCAGATTAAAATGCAGTGGACACCACCAGAGTCAGGTCAATTTCCAGCTTTGTCAGTCCAGTCCGTTGTACAGGCAAACCAGCTGAAACGCCATTTGTCATTGTGACACGTTCTGGCAAATTCAAAAGGAGCTTACATGAACAACCTGTGCTGACAGCATCACATCGCTAAATCCAGCTTGTATTGCATTAGTAATCAGCAATATGACAACGTGATGAACATAATATGTTTGTGTATAAACAGCGTCACTATTGTCTGACAGGCGGTGAGCCCAGCACTGGCAACATGAAGGAGGTCAAATCTCAGTAGACATGGGGGGGACGGACGAGATCAGCCAAAACATTAAAACTACTGGCGGATAAGGGATTAACATTGATCATCTTGTTACAATGCAATGTTCTGCTGGGAAACTTTTGGCTCCTGGTATTCATGTGGATTCTGCTTGACACGCAGCACCCACCCAAACACCACTGTGGACCCAGTACACCCCCCCAAGGCAAGAATACACCTTGATCACAGTGGCCATCAAGCAGAACAATGCGCCATGCCTCGCTGCAAAAACTGGTCAGGAGTGACCGAAGAACGTGACAGAGAGCTCAACGCATCGACCTGGCCTCCAATTCCCCAGATCCCAATCTGATTGAGTATTCTGGGGACGTGCCAGTACCCCCTTTTTGGATCGGACTTGGCTCTGACATGTCAAGGGATGAACACAGGACCTCTGGGGGTGTGCCCTCTTGGAGTCTGGCACTGCGGCGTTGGCGGTGGATCCTTTGAGACCTGTCGGTTGTGAGGTGGGGTACTGGCACGTCCCACAGATGCTCGATCAGAATGGGAGTTGAGGAATTTGGAGGCCAGGGTGATGCCTTGCACTCTTTGTCATGTTCCTTGGGACATTCCTGAGCAGCGTTTGTGGTGAGACATGGTGCATGTTCTGCTGGAGTTGGACCACTGCCATCCAGGAGTGTCATTGCCATGAGCGGGGGACTTGATCCGCAACGGTGTTTGGATGAGTGAAGTGCTTCAAGTGGCATCCAGTAGACTTATGCGGGCCCAGTCATATACTGCTGCCTAAAGCAGGCCCTTGGTGAGGAAAATATGAATTACAGTGACACATCTTAACTACAGTAAACTATATTTTAAACACATTACTATACTGATTATATTGCATTGTAATAACACACAGTACAGTAATTTGAAACAAACCCTTTCATTCCTTTACATTCATGCAACAAATGTGCAAAGGTCAATTAGATGTTGACCTGCGGGAGAAATAAGGAAAAAGACATTTGGTTGTAATAATCATCCATTTATAGTGATTAATTTGACCCACACAGATGGGATCACTATGAGAGGTTTCCACTGTAACGTAAGGTAATGCTTTCATATTTAGCATTTATAAGCATTTACAGCCATAATTGTATCGCATTAGTCCAACAATAAGTGAATTAATCATTAAGCAAAAATGCCCAAACTTATGCTGGTCCCAACTTCTAAAATGTGATAATCGATAAAATATATTTGGCATTTGGACTGTTGGTCGAACAAAACAAGACTTCTGGAGATGTCATATAAAAATCTGGATAAATACGATGAGCAGATTTCCATAATTTTGTGACATGAAATGTATAATTATGAAAATTAATTTTCCTACAAGGATTGGGATCTTACCTACTGAAAAAAAAAAAAATCATGAATTTATAGAGCCACACTTTTGCAATAACACGGACTGTAAGACGAGTGTGTCACAACACTTCTCCAAATCTGTCAGCGTGAACGCAAACCACAGAAGCAAAGTTACATTATCAAATAAAACCTGCAAAAAATAAAGCAATAATTGCAACAGAAACATGATGACATAAACCCATGTCTCTGTTTGTATGTCACAATGTTGTGTCATTATTATTATTCTCCATTTTCTCATATTATGCGTAATTTTCTGTTGTCGTAACTGCACACACACACACACACACACACACACACACACATACACACACATAAAAACACAGCAAGCACCCGATAAATATTACCTGTATAATAAATGCACATAAATACATGAATGTTTATTACCTATATGTCCATGAATATATGTATTATGCAATGAATTATGTGTGTTGTAGAATTGTGTGTCTGGCATTTAATAATAATAATGTGCATGTGTCCATATGATGTAACATCTTCACCTCCTGGATGATCTTCTGCAACTCCCTGTTCTCTCTCTCCAGCTGCCTGGATTTCTCCTCGTCGTTGTTGTTGGTGGACGAGCCGGTCTTCAGAGTGTCCTGCTGCTCCGACTGCCACTCGCCGCGGGTAATGAGACGCCGCATCTGGACCGCCACAGAAACCGGAAGTCAAGAAAGACCAAAAAAAATAAATCAGGCCTGAGAGTACAGTGAGCTGATGGAATAATGCATCTAACGGGAACATATTTTTTATATTTCCAGCCCTTAAAGCCAAATGTCTGAAGCTTGGAAATGTTTTCACCACTGAAGTCAGTTTTCAGAGGATTGATACTTTCATTTTCTTTGCCTATTTTGTTGACATATTCGGCGCTTTCGGCTCACTGCTGTGTCGTTTCTGCACTGCACTCCTAAAGACAGTGACGATATTGTGATGTTTTGTTTTCCTTGGATTTTCTGTTAATAAAGTTTGAGTATCTGTAGGTGGCACTCTTTCCTCTGTCTCCACAGGCTGCAGCAGAGCTCATGTGCACTCCCCATCTCCTCTGTTATTCATTCCAAACAAATCATTGTACTGTAGCTGCTGCCAGACATTTAAAATGTCTCACTTTGTTTGTGCCAGAGGATTTTTTTCCCACTAACACCAAATGTTTACAGCAGCTCCACACCTAAAAGCTTATTAAATACCTAACTTGACAGATTATTGCAATTTTGTAAAATGCAGAGCTATCACACTGAACAAAGTATAAAAGGTTTGTCATTTTCATGCTTAAAAACACTGGCACGTTTTGACCTTTGGTTTTATTGTAATAAGAATGTATTTTTTTAGTGTGTGCAGCAGTTCCTAGGGGTGTCAGTGACAAGTCAGAGCACCTTGGGTACGAAGAGCACCACCAGAGTGATGTAGGCAGAGAAGACGATTGCTAGAGCGGCAAAGGCAAAGGAGGCGTCCTGCTGCGAGGACAGGATCATGGTCACTGGAGCTGTGATCAGGCACAACACCTGCAGGATGAGAGATAAGACAAAAATGGAAAGAAGGAAAAAGTTAGAGAATAAAAGAAGAGCGAAAACTAAGAGTGAGGTTTATTAAAGCAGAGAGGAAGAAGGAGGCAGGGGAGGTAAGGGGAGAGGAGGTGGAGAATGAGCTGGAGAGCGAGAGAATGAGAGGGGAGGAAAATCACATCCATAAAAGCATTAGGCATCTGTTTATCATTCCGGGGAGGGCTCCCATGTGAAAACAGCATTAAAAAGTCATGACTGAAGTGGCAACAGCGCGCTGACAATCACCACATTGTCATCTCATCAGGGCCTGAAGCTCACGGCTTAGCAAAGAGGAATGAGGTCCCTTTACAGACACCATTAACTATTGACATCATCATAAAACTGAAATGTGTATATCAGAACATAAAATAATTACATTAGACTTGTCTCACATTGTAGAGCCACGAAATGAGCATGCAAGCCGCATTTAATGCTCTCATAAAAAAACATGAATGATAGATCAATGATAAATTCTCTGCTTGACAGAGGAGGCCAAATCAATCCATTTATTGATCATTTACGTCGAAGCTGATAGATGTTCGGACTCTCCCCGTTATATTTATTCAAAGATATCTTTGGACATATTTCAAGCTTTATTTATACTTAAAGACAGAGACACAAGGGGAGAGAGGGAGGAGGGCATGCTGCAAAGGGTCCTGGGCTGGACTCAAACTAGGACTGTAGGATATGCAACCAAAAAAAAAGTCATGTCGTGATTATTTTGACAGATACTGCGGTTGGGATAAGCGCCACTTTTACAGCTATAGTTGTAGGATGTATGTCTATGTGATGTTCTGTCACTTTTATTTAAGTGATATCATCCAGGGCTGAAAAAACGAAGACAACACACCGTGCCAAAAACTGCAGTTCTTTTAATGGCCACTAGAGGCTGGCTACAGAAGCCAATTAATCCCCATTGGCCCACATGTTCAAATGCCCGACGTTACAGCAGAAATAAACCTGTTTACAGCCTGGTACAAAAAACGGTTTTGGTCTCTACAGCTAATTTCAACATTCATGACAATTGCAGCTGTAAATGCACCGTGCTAACCAAGCTAGCAACTAGTGTTAGGGTCATGTCCACCCTCTCGTCCAAATATGGTCACTCGTAATTTGTATGCAGGGGCATCTCTGAAGCATAGAGCTTCTATTCTCTACTGAAGCCCAGTTGGGCCCGACCCGACCTGCTGGGCACAGGCCGGCTGTAATTTCTCAACATTCCCCAGGGCTTGAATCAGGTCAGGTTCTCGCCAATTTACTGGTGTTTTTTTTTTTTTTTTTTTTTATGAAGCTGGCAGGTCTCGTGTGTAGATTGCAGAAGCTGTGTTTGACTGAATCAAGAGAGAAAGAGAGAAAGGGGGGGNGGGGGGGGGGGGGGGGGGGGGGGGGGCTGCAAGGTGACCTGGTTGGCAGCGTTTGCTTCTGCCTCCCCAGCAGAGGGAGAGATGTGTGTAACATGCAGTAGAGAGTGCTGATCATTATCTGTGCACAGCATCACTACAGACCGCCATGCTCACTATAGGACGGGAGTTACCGAAAGGCGCAGCCTGTTCTGCCTAACATGTTGCCGAGGCTCAGGCTCAGGCTGGGCTTGGGAAGGACACTGTGTGGAGTCATGTAGGGTCAGGCCACAATGCTTCATTTGTAATGGTATGCTGGGACACATTTTATTTTTATTAGAAAATTTCAGCTCCTGCGATTTAAATATTGCACTTGGCCATGTTGCAATTTGGATAATATTTCGATTAACTGTGTGGCCCGAACTTGAACCTGTGCTGCTGTGGTAAGGACACAGCCTTAATGATATGTGCTCTACCTGGTGAGCTATAGGGAAATCCTCTCTCCCTGCTTTTTTTAAATTTTATTTTAGACTAGGAATCAAGACAAGTGGAGGAAATTCTAGCAATATGGCCATTTAGAAAATAAAAAAAATGTTTGCCTGCTTTTGATCAAAGCAGAAAACCTCCTCTGGCAGTTAAAGTGACAGAAACCAGTTTTTCCAGACGTTTTACATCAATTACAAAGTTACCCTGTGTCAAGAGTGTCAGGAAATGGCAGCAAGTATTTGTCTAAAGTGGCTAAAGTGAAGATAATGGCAGCTATTTCAGAGTAAAGTGCATCCTAGGTGCCTGTGTTTAAGATGATTCACTTGCTATTAACAAGAGCTGAAAAATGTTTATGACTGACAGCTGCGTTTACCACTGTACTTTGGAGGAGAAATGGGTACAATTTTAAAACAATTCCTGCCATAGGGCAAGGTAACAGCTCCGACAAAGCACTGCGTGGATGCAATCTTTACTATCCACACACAAAGATAATGCATAATTCACACTGTGCACAGGCTCTTCTCGTATATAAGCTCAGCACTAAAGCAGAGAGCTACAAAACTAAGTAGCTACGTGAGATTGCAGCACAATAAAGTGTTTGTGATATGCCCTTTCCTATTTTATCGATTTTATTTAACAGTTATTTCACCAGGAAGTCCCATTGAGAACAAGTTTTCATTTTTATAAAGGAGACTTGAGATACGAGTGTTGGTATCACAGCACCGCAGGCACCATAAGCATCAGAATTTATGATTCATACAAGACAGCAGCTTGTGCTGGCACTATTATGATTTGGACAGAACTGCGTCTAGGGATCTGCATTTTAGAGAATCAAATCTCAAGACAGACTTGTGGAAAATCATGAATATTTTATATATAAAGCTGTTTCTGCGTCTCTTATAGCTCCATCCAATCATTATACTAACATGTACTTTTCTGTGTTTTATATTAGATCATCAATCTGTAATGTTCAGCACATCCCAGAGGTTGTTTTCAGTGGATAAATTGTCATTTCTGTTCTGTTGTGCCCACAATGGATTTCTTTTTCTATGACTTCTTGAAGATGGAGGCAAGATGTTGAATCTAGAAACCTAAATTCTGACACCAAAACTGAAAAACTATAGAATTGTTACACTCAGCTGCACAGGAAGTACTTCTTGTGATGTTCTGTCACTTTTAGTCAAGTGGTAACTAGGGATGTGCACAATTAGACGTCTAAACGATAAAACGTCCGCCACCTCGCTAGTCGGCACCAGAAATATTAGTCCGTGTTTTATTCATGTCCAAGTCCGCTTAACTGTCGTGCAGTCACCCGCCACTAGTGGGTGCTACAGAGCTGTCAGACAGCAGTCCCCCTCCCCGCTAGCCTGGTTCCAGACCATAGACCCCGCCCACTCAACTGAGTAGGCTTGCATCTCTGGTCTGGCATACTTCAATGAATTTGCGATTTATCTCGTCCAAACGATGGACGGACCAATGAACGCCGGGGGTCTAGTGATTAGCCAATCAGTGCCACGCTGATGTCAAGCTGTACGCCAGTGGGTAACTGGTGAGGATAGCAACAATGGCGACCGCTACAGATCCTACAGACCACATTAACGATGCTATCGAGGTATTTCGCCACTACTCGCGTTAATGGAGGACCAAATTAAGGAAGCTGCTAAACTGGATTTAACGGCGATGCAGCTGGGCGTGCACAACGACGGAGACATTTTAAACGGGCAATACTCGCTTGTTTTCAGCACCCCCGAGGCATGGATACTAATGACGTCAGATTCTGGGTGAGTCGTTGATCTCTACTGATTGGTTAGGGAAAAATCAAATTCCCTCCCCCTTGTAAATCGCCTTCAATGGAAGCCATGTCAGACTGAAGGTTCTGGGAGCTTCAGTCTGACACTCAGGCTACCTCCCCGCGGTAATGCTCAAATAGACTGGAGTTTTAAAACAGCACGGTGGGAAATGAGAGAGATGTCCTCTCGCAAAACCAGCATGATTTGGCAGTACTTTGATCTAGAAAATGAATTCAGCAGTAATTTATTTTTTTTGAGATGTTATATTAAGCGAGTTGTTGTCACATAATGTGCAGGTTTACATTCATACTGCACGGAGCAAAATGCCTCTCATTTCAGCTGGAATTTAATTATAATTTATTTGTTGTTTTATTAACTTTAGAGTGAATTGCTATCATTTCTGTCAGATGATCTGCAAGGTTTAATGTGCCCCACATTTCAGAGGCTATTTATTTATTTTAGATGATATGTTAGTGTTCAACTTTTGACTGAGTTGCCGTCATGTTCACATTCATACTGCGCGGTGCAAAGTGTCTCGTACTTCAGTGACATTTAAAATCCGGTTGTTGAAGACTGTGATTAAAGGCTTCAAAAGGCTCTTTGAGAATGTGTTACTTAAAAATAAATTGTGCCAAATGTTGGCTGTTTTCTGAGTGTTTTCCTTTTTTAGGCTAGTCGACTAGTCTTAATTAAAATTTTCGTTTAGTCAACAGGGAAATTAGTCACCAGGAACATCACTAGTTGGTAACTTCCAGGGCTGAAAAATGAAGACAACATGCAAGTGCCAAAAACTGCAGTTCATTTCATGGCCACTAGAGGCTGGCTCCAGATGCCCCCACGATCAAATGCCTGTCATTACAGCAGAAATAAACATGTTTACAGCCTGGTTCAAAAAACAGTTTTGGTCTCTGTGCACTGTGCTAACCAAGCTAGCAGCTAGCATTAGGGTCATCTCCACCCTCTTTGGTCACTTCTGGGTCAAAATAACCAAGATGACGACAAAATGCCAAACTTTAGGCTTCAATACAGGAGTCCACAAACCAATGGGTGATGTCACAATGGCTATCTATTATTTTATACAGTCTATGCCAGCTATCATTGACTGGCGGCCCTCGGGCCACATGTAGCCCACCAAGGCTTCCCATCTGGCCCGCAGAATATTAATGAATTTATCAAATTTAATGAGGAAATCATGTGCTCCTGTATATTTCATATTTAGCATTTCTTTTCCTCTTCTATTGAAGTAGCCTCAAAAACAAAAATGTGCATTTGACCCATGGCTAGGCCAACTTTATAAATCCATCTTTCAGCTTATTATTGACTGATTATCAACCCACAGGCTCTGGGGCAGGTTTGAGTAGGATTACTAATAAAATCACAGGTTACTAATTTTCATTAACTTACACTGCAGTGCGTGCAACAGTCCACCTGTCACTCATACATGTGCCGTGGTGCTCAGTCCTTGTCTCTGTCCGTGTCTCCGTCCTCAGCTCTGACAACTGTGTCACAATCATGCATAAAGCTGGAGGACTGGAGGTCGAGCAGGGATCTGGCAGTTGATTAACCCATATGTTTGCTGGTTGGGAGGCGCAGATTGGATAGGTGACGCTGAAACCAATTCAGTGCAGCTTGTGCTATGTCTTCATGCAAGAATGGGGACAAACTTGTTTCTCTCAGTTAGCTCTTTCATTTTATTTACTTTTAATTTATCATTGAATTCTTGCATGAGTTAAATAATTTAACAATCACAGGCAAATCTGGTCTAAAAGTCTGGCCCCCACAGTGTCTGCTTAGAAGAATTCTGACCCCTGGATAATTATAGTTGAAGACCCCTGGTCTGTGCTTTCCATCAGTTATCCACTCAAATAAAGAAAACACAGCGCAGGCATTAAAGGGCATCAAGTTATCTATGAACTCCATTAACGTTTATAAACAACCAGCAGGCAGTGCGAAGAGCAGCCCCCTCGAGAATGAAGCTTTTAAGCTCTTGCAGCTGAAATTTCTTGACAAACTGGTCAGTTGCCTGTTTTGCTCAGAAATGAGCAGGAACGTGTCTCCTGGAAGCCAAAAATCTGAGCACCAGGCAAAGTAATCATGGAGGCACTGGCATTGATTAACCCCCCGCAGATATACTACAGCCATTTTGTGCTGCGGTGCAATAAAAACGGTATTTATTGCCACTTTAAAGTTATTCAGCGTGCTACAGACTGCTCTTAGCAGACAGCAGCACCCAGAAATAAGAGTTTAGGCGTGACGGTGTCGTTTCTTTTTTGGACTCACAGCAACGTTGTAAATAGCCATCCCCACGGCCCGATGGTCATTGATCTTTTCTGTGGAGACAGACTTGGTCTCGTAAGCCAGAAATATTCCCAGCAGCAGCAGCAGACCCTTGTAGCCATAAACGACACCTACAGGAAGAGAGGGCAGAGACGGAGAGTGAGTGAGTGAGCAAGTGAACATGAAAATTATATAATGTGTGTGTGTGTGTGTGTGTGTGTGTATATGTGTGTGTGTGTGTGTGTGTGTGTGTGTGTGTGTGTGTGTGTGTGTGTAATGTAACTGTGGCAAAATTCAGGTAATGTACAGCCAATGTATACAGCATTGTATGGAAACAAATGGGGGCCAAATTTTGTCATTTTACCGGACAAAATTAGAGATGGAAAACTGATAGTGGAAGAATATATATAAAATGATATTATAATTTTATTCAACAAAGTTAGTATCGAGTTAAATAGAAGAGCTACTCTGGTCTTCTTAAAGGTATGGTTCGTATTTTTTTAAGTGGGGTTGTATGAGCTAATTATCCATGGTCATAGTGTATACATACAGTAGGTGTCAGCTGACATGGCCCCAGTTTGGAGGAGCGGCAGGATTACTGCCATGGAAGCTGAGCAATGTACTGCTGTGGACAGGGGCAGCAGCTAAACAAATTTTAGCCAATCGATATCACTTTAAGTGTACACCATATCGAGAATATTTTCAGAGCTTTACCTTGCTTTTAGAAGGCCCTTTCCAATGGGGAACTGAAGCTGTTACTGCTCTTTCCAAAGCCAACAGACTCCATTGAGAAAAACAGTAATTTTACCTCGCAGTACAAGGGGCTGCTTGTCTACCGCTGCCTCAGTTGGTTGGTTTGTTTGTGTTATTGTGTGACTCTGGTGAATCTGAACTAACCCTATAAAACAGCAAAGTCATACAGTACATTAACAGAAAGAAACTAACTGAGTGAGGCAGCGGTAAACCAGCAGCTCCTGTGTTCTGAGAGGTAAAATGACCGTTTTTGTCAGAGGAGTCTGGTGGCTTTGAAGAGAGCACAGATAACTGCTTCCGTTCCCTGTCAGACAAGGCTGTCTGACGGGAAGTCAAGGCAGTGAAAATATTCAAAATATAATGTACACTTAAACAGATGTTTTTAAATCTGAAGTGGCTAAAATGCGTTTGGGTTGCTGCCCCTGTCCACAGCAGTACATTGCTTAGCTTCCTTAGCAGTATCCTGCCTGCTTCTCCAAACTGAGGACTTGCTGACTGACATCTCCTGAAGGTAATAGGGACCGTACACATGCCGCTCATTAAACCACTTTGTGCCAACTTTCAAAGGTGCGGAGGCAGGTTGCGTCTGAGGTTGCTAAGCGACCATGACCAGCACTGTATCATGGCCTATTTACCAGGAATCCTGAGTGCAGAGCTGATCTTCTTCCAGGCGTTGTTTTGTAAGTGTGTATTAGGCCAAAACGTTGTCTGTGGGACGGATGTAAAGCTCAGGGTAGCCCTGCGTTAAAACGATAAGCTGCTCCTCCATAGTTACCGCTGACAGTTATTTACAGAAGAGAGGAGAGATATGTGCCAACTGTGATTAGTCATTCCTTGTCACATGACATGCAGTCTGCGCCGCTGTGCTCCAAAAGTTGAACTTGGTTTATCTCAGAGCGCGGCCGCTGCGCACTGCACAATAGGCACTTGGGAACATGTGCACGCCTGGATGTTGCCACTCTGGCATTTGAAGGTGGCTGCCGTGTGTCTACATTAAAAACAATGAATTTGAAAGTGCAAAAAACGCAGCATGTGTATGGCCCCATACACTGACTATGGATAAGTACCTCATAAAACCACACTCAAAAAATGTGAAGTATTTCTTTAACACGAACAAACACCTGTTGGTACTATCTTACATTATTTTTAAAGATAATTTTTTGACCTTTCTTAATGGATAATACAGAAGAGGAGTGACAGGGAAGGGGGGGAGAAGGAGAGGACGACATGCAGCAGAGGGCCCCAGGTTGGAATCGATTTTACACTTTAATATTGTGTCTTGTCTTTGAAGTAACAAAAGACTATGTTGTGCACGTTGCAGGATGTGGAGAAAGATGCAGTCTTAGTGACATATTGAGACATCAAAGGACAGAAAATCTGGAAGATGTCTTGAAACGCCTTTTGCTTCTCATGCAGGTAACACTGTGAACACCTCGGTGTGGCCATTGAGTGAGTGAGTGAGTGAGTATGACCGAGATGTGCAGAGGAAGAAAACCAAAGATGTAGACACTATAGACACTCAAGTGACAAAAAGGTTGAAAATGCTGAAAGCCAGTTAGACTGACAGAGAAAAGAGAATATAACAGTGACAGGGAGAGAAGCAGCGAAGAAAAGAGGATCTGTGACTGAGTAAGTTCGACACTTCTTCAGACTGTCCATTGTCTCTTTATACTGCCTGATATTAAAGCACCATCTTTTCTTCCCTCAGAAAGGAAATGCTATGGGGCAATGGCCCAGTTTGTGACCCACATTATTTGAATTTCAGCACCATTATACTTTCATAAGAGCTGCCACGCTAAGAAAGAGAGCAGAGAGACAGACAGAGAGAGAGAAAGGAGTGCGTGGGCCCACAAAAAGAGAAGCAAAGAGGGAGAAAAGAGGAATCAAACGTAAAGGGGGGGGTGGCGGGGGCTGAGGGAGGAGGCTGTGATATGAGGCCTGTTTAATTCAGAGTGAATGGAAGTGACGTGTGTGTGTGTGTGTGTGTGTGTGTGTGTGTGTGTGTGTGTGTGTGTGTATGCATATGTGTCTGCATATGCCCATGTGTGTGTGTGTGTGAGAGCGATTATTCAAAACCAGAGCAGGGCAAAGAGTGATAAAGAGACAGATTGAGATATGAGAGGGTAGAAAAAAATATACCAAGCCACGTGTTCATCTTCTCTGAGCTGCAGTGCTCCAGCAAGGGCTGAATCAGGACATCCAAATCTTCTTTAGGGGACTCCTTAGTGAACTTCTACTCGCAAGGCAGAAAGAGGAAGAGGAATGGAGGGATAAAGAGATAGAGGGGGGGGGAGAGAAGGGGAGATAATAAGAAACGATGAGACAGCAGCACTCTGGAGAAGGAGGCAAAAATGCACAGCAAGCACAAGCCCCGGTGACTGCACGGTTGATCCCCTCGAGTAAGGTCCTTCCCGTATGTCAGATATAGATGACTGAATTAAAATGAATATCAGATATCCAATAAATATGAAACATGGCTATTTTAATACAAGGTTTGACTGTAGATAAAGTCAGCACTGTGCACACTGGGACTGATGACGACATATATGTCTACTATTGTTCCTTTTTGTGTCTTTTCCAGATTTTGATCAAATTGGGGATACACCGCTTAAAGTTAAAACAGTATAACAGCATTAAAGGGGAACACAACCTATATCAATATGTTACTTCCATGGTCTGGAGCCTACTCTCTGTCCAAGCCAGAAACCAGACAAGTAAGTCTCAAACTTGTGATGTCACAGGGTATGAAGTCTGGAGCTGCTTCATAGACAGGGGATGGAGACTGATATCGTGGACCCACAGAATGTTTTTCTTTTTTTTAAAAAAAAAAACAACCCACATTAGCTTTATTCTACTGTAGTGTTCTCAGTTCTGAAACAGAAAATGTACCTGTATACTCAGAACATTCCCCCCTGATGTCATCTAGACTTACGTCCACCATTTACTGTTTATGGAGTAGTCTCGCGTGACCAGCCTCCCTTACTTCGGAATGGGAGTCTGGGGACATTTGTCTTTTGTTTGGTAATAGAAATGGGCCGGGATATCCAGACCACGTGACAGCGTTGCCATAGGTACGACACGCTGTACATCCTTAATTTCTCCAATCTCGTGGACGTTGCAGCTCATCACTGCCGCTGGGAGCCAGCGCTAGTTCTATTACAACTTTCCTATGGGAATGTTCACAGACGACAGAGTCAGCCAGCGTGCTGACATCATCTGCGTCTGGGTAAGAGACTATCTATGAAGCAGCTCTGGACTTTTTACCCTATGATGTCACAAATTTGAGTATTAACACTCTACTTTTTGGATTTGGGAGAGATCGGTGCATGTTTACTAATGTTTTTGGACTGTCTTAGGCCCCGATCACACAAAAAGTGTTTTAGCAGCTGGAGGCGCCTTCTTTGTAATTGCTTTTAATGAGAATAAAGCTTTTTGCGTTGCAACGTGCTTTGCGGCAGTGGTCTGAACTCTTTGAGTTGAAAAAACTTAAACTCAAAGCGTAAAAACGCCTGATGGCATCGCTTTTTTTTGTCTTTTTTTCCCCATTGTCCAACTGGATGATTTGCGAGGCGGGCCTTCTGTGGTGGTCACGACAAGTTAACAGTTGGTAAACAATGGAGGAGAAACTGGTGGATACCCAGATCTATATGGCCCGACGTAGACTAACTGCCCCCGAGTCATCCTAAAATATGCCTGGAAACGGGCATCATTGAGGCAAAGTTCCTGGACCAACTGGTGGTACTTCCCATGATCCATGGGGATGATTTCCCTGTGACCAACAAACTGTTTACTGACAGCCTCTCACCCTCAAACAGAGCTACAGCAAGTACCTTCTGTCTGAACATTTTAGGAACTAGATACTAATTACTGTCAGTAAAAGGCGCAGCAAGCATTTTTAAAAAACATTTTATTAGTGGCATTCAATTAAAAAAAAGAGGCAGTGTGGCGCACCTCGTGTTTTGCTTTCTGTGTGATCAGGAACGACATGTATGAATTTTCAAAATGGGCGTAGTTTCCCTTTAAGGTTTCTGTGTCTTCAATTCCTGAACATCTAAGCCACGAATCTCTGGCAGCGCAGCGTTGTATTGTACGTGTGCTACTGCAATAATTTCATTCATCTCACAGACTGATTTAGCGTAGGTTGTGCAACATATAGACCAATGTCACACTATAGACAGACAGATTAAACAGAGGACACACAGAGCACTGTGTGTTGCTGTAGAACTTGGGAGTAAGTGTAAGAGTGAGTGGGGCGGAGCTGTGCGGAGAGTGTGAGAGAGGAGAGATGCACACTGGTATGTGTTATGTAACGCAACTTGACCCTATATTGATATTAACCGTTTTATCTTGCTTGAAAATATATCGATATATCGTACATAGTTGTTATATCACCCAGCTTTATGTGATGTAAGTCACAGAAGTGTTTGCCAAATAAACTATTGTAATGATGAGGTTTCACTTTTGTTGTAACGGTTTCCACATATTAAAGCTACCGTGTGGAGTTATTGACCACTAAGCCCGCTCTGCCTATCGGACGTTATTGTTTTAACATAAAGTGAAGACTTTTTGTCCCAGAAACTACTTTTCAAGGACCTGAAAGGTTCCTTCAGCCCACGTTATCTGTGTTTCCACTGTACTGATGAGTCAAATTTGTCCGCTGACGTATAAAAAAGCAACATAACTGGATGAGGGCAGCTGGTGGTCCCAGGGGTGAACGCCGCCTGCTGAGTGTGTTTCATCTAAAAAGCATGTTTGCTGCTGCACGAAATTGCTGCAAGATGGATATAATGGATGAAATGCAGAGGAGGAAATTAGACCAAGAGCATCTGTCCCCACAGTTAATCATCTGTTGAGTGTCTGATGGTTATTTATTTGTGCTTTAGAACTTAACCGCTGTGAAACAACCAGAAACTAACGTTTTATTTCTCTCATTTCACTTTCTTACAGCACCACAGCGCTCCTTCTCTCGTGCCTCGCTTGTCCAAACCTGTGCTCTCATTGGCGCGATTTCTCTTTTTTTTTAAATGAGGAGAGCCTACAGCAAAGCCAACATTAGCTTGTAATTTTATGAAACAAACAGAAATGTTCTCCCCTTGTCCTAAAATGGTCGTAAATTGATAGTATAGTACTTCCTTGTTTTATGGATTAAGCGGTTCACGAGTTGAAGAAGAAGCGCTGTGTGTTTGACCAATCGGCAAATACCACCCCTGAAAGTTCCTGTAATTTCAGAAAGTGCCACCTCTCGATCAGGGGCTTTCTAAGGGGTAAAATAATGTCCCTGGAACTTAATTTAGACCCTGGTCTCTGGGGTCAAAACACAACGCAAAAGGTCCCTAGTCCTGGGGAAAGTTCCTGCGGTCGAAAAGGGGCTTTACATTAACAATAACACGACTCCAAATCAATACTGATGTTGCTCTGCATCTGCCAAATGACTAAAAACGTGCATATGTTTGCTTACAGGTTTGTCATATCAACATGAATGTGATAATATGTTAAAATGTCTTCTGTGTTTTGTTATTACAGCTGCATTCATCAAACTTTGGTCCGTTGGGGGTAGAAAACAGAACAAAGGCCAGACAGTGTTAGCAAACATGTTACTGAAAATTAGCCTCCAACTCCAACTTAAAGGGAAATTTCGGTTTATTTCAACCTGTCTCCTATCGTCCTAAATTTGTTTCAAGTGACTAGTGACATAAAAATAATAGTTAGCGTGTTAGCCGTTAGCCTAGATACAGCCGGGGCGCATAGTAGCGTCATGGCTACAGCCTTATTTTCAAGGTCTGGATGTGACCGAGGACGAGACACCTCCACCTGGAGTAGTATCCAGCTGGGCTTTATCTAGAGCTTTGGAAAGCAGAGCTAGAGGGATAAACAAACATGGCAGCACACCAGTAAGGTAAGACAACACATTTACATGTCGTTTTCTATATGTTCTCTGACATTTATCCTAACGATATGAGGTGTTCTTTGTGGAAAAAAAGCTTGTTTAGCAGACTAACTTTGCACTTGAAGGTTGCCCGTTCACTTATGTTTTAACAGGTCTGACGCTACTATGCGCCCCGGCTGTATCTAGGCTAACGGCTAACACGCTAACTATTATTTTTATGTCACTAGTCACTTGAAACAAATTTAGGACGATAGGAGACAGGTTGAAATAAACCGAAATTTCCCTTTAACAGTCTACTTTCTGGCGCTGGGCAGGGAGAGTGCATATGAATGTTGATGAGAGCAGCTGAGAGTAAACCATGCAGTGAATGTGGAGTACAAAGAAAACAAAAGAGACTAAAATAAATTATAAGCCCTGTTCCCATGGGACTAGTATTACCTGGGGACCTCTGGTAATTTGTTATAATTGCGGAGGTCGGCTGTGATCTTAATCCTGTGTGAATCTGCCATGTTCGTAATTTGTTGAGGGAAAATTCCACCACCAATTACCTCCCATAATTCACTGAACACAGAGGTCATGTGATAATATTATTCCCGTGTGAGCCAGCATCTGTGATTTGAGGTTGTATTTAGGTTTTTCTGTTTCTCCAAGTGTCTGCCTTTTTGCGGTTGAGATTTACGGAGGCTGTGTTGGTGATTATGGATGAAAGTTTGGACAACATTTTGGGTTCAGGAGGCTCATCTCACTACACAGCATGGAGACATGTACACAGAACAAGCTCAAATCAATCAGAAGAGCGAAATCTCCAAAGATGATGAGATGGATAACTTGTGACATTGGGCCTCGTTCACTATTGTGCCTGGAAATCTTCCTCTCCTCTCCTCTATATGAGGAAATTAGTTTGCCTAGAAGTGTATCATGAAGAAAGCGATGAAGTTGTTGCTATGCACATGTAAAGACCCGGACACACTAGTGTTGTATGATTGTCTTGTTGGACACAGCTGATGAGGGTTCGTCACTCTCTTCAAACATAATACTTTGGCCTCTCCTGAAGTCACAGGCTGCAATATCTTCCAGCATGGTTAGATTTGCTATCTTACCTGTTCAGGGGCAAATCTGAATCTTTCATATACTGTGGATGCCTGTTAATGATGATAATAATAACTTCACGGCACTAGAAATTGGTTGGAGTAGCTGATCATTTTGAGTAGATTCAGTAAAAACTATTGAAACCAAAACCGTTATATTTCAATATGGACATCCTCATATACTCCATTGTAAGCTGGGACTGGGACACTAGCTGAATAATGACAATAAATGAGGAGGATGACTTGGCATCGCATAAGTACATGCATTAGTAAATTACCGGTTTTGAATATTGTCTATCAAAGCCTTTTTAATGAATGTGGTTTTAATGGTATGCATTTAGTTAAAAGGTGGCACAGTGGTGCAGTGGTTAACATTGTCGCCTCACAACAAGAGTGTTCCTGGTTCAAAACTCCAGTGTGGGGGAGCCCATCTGTGCGGAGTTTGCATGTTCTCCCCCGTGTCAGCGTGGGTTTCCTCCAGGTACTCCAGCTTCCTCCCACAGTCCAAAGACATGCAGGTTAATTAGTGACTCTAAATTGTCCGTAGGTGTGAATGTGAGTGTGAATGGTTGTCTGTCTCTATGTGTCAGCCCTGTGATAGTCTGGTGACCTGTCCAGGGTGTATCGTGCCCCTTGCCCAATGTCAGCTGGGATAGGCTTCAGCCCCCCCGAGACCCCCAACAGGATACGCAGTTACAGAAAATAAATGAGTTTAGTTAAAAGGTGTGTGTTTACATTTTCAAAGACAGCAGGGCTTTCATTATTTGTGCATGCCTGTGGTGTTCAGTGGAGTTCACTTATCGTGTGCTACACATTTTTTGTTCTACACTTTGAGTGCTGAAAATGAAGATTCAGCAAAGCAGTGAGCCCTGGTATTTCTATTTTTTTCATGTTGAGTCTTGATCATAAAGCTAAGTTCAAGTGTGTGTAACCTCTTTTCGGTCTCACGATATGTCCTTGGATCAAAAGAAAACCTGTTTGTGTGTGTTGTGAAACATTCCTTAGCCAATCTACTGGCAGTTCCTCTTTAGTCGCTTGGTTCAGCATTGAATATATTGACTAAATCAGGTTTAATGAAGTTAAACAATTACATGAGACCTTTGAAAAATAAATGTTTAATGAGCCAGGAAATTAATTTACCATGTTTGTTTGGCTGCTTGATGAATGCTGATTTATGTTTACAGTAAATGCCACAGGGGACCTTTAACAGTGTTACACTGTCAAATACAAACACATAGTGTAGCTCAGGTCATGAGTGTTACTGTTAAGGTACTGCTGATTGGCTGTTGTTTAGATCGTGGTCTTTGAGTCTAAGATGAATCAAAACAAAAGAACATTTCTACAAACTAGACGCGGTGTCTCATTACTGCGTTATCGACTCGTGACAGCGGCTGCACGGTCTGTGCAAATGGGCAATGACACACAAATTATCTCATCTGTCTTTCGTACTCTACCTCCACTGTAATGTGCAGAGGATCCACAATCTGCCAGATCATGAGTGACAGGAAGTCGATAGCCAGCAGCACTCCAACTGTTGCGTAGAGTTTCCATGGCTCCAAGTGTTGCTGTGTGAGCAAAGACACACACACAAAGACACACACACAAACAACAGTCATCACTATCCAAGGGCATCGCGAGGCAGTCCACAAACAAAGACAAACAACCAGGACAAATAATACGACAGGCGTCCTTGTGATTTCTGGATGACTGGACGCGAATTGTCTTTCTGAATGTGTGTGTACAAGTGTGTATATTTTTGGAGCAGCAGGAGTTTGTGTGTGTGTGAGTGTGCGAGTCTGCAGGCGACACACAAAGAGCTGCGGCAGCTTTATTTGTGCTGCCACCTGAAATCATCATTTATACACACTGAGATGACACTGCTTTTGTGTGGACAGTTTCCAAAGCGGCCGATATCAACTCTATTATTCTTAACTTAAGCCATAATGGAAGCAATACAGCCGTAACCAAAAAACACGCCACCAAAATGAGCTCTCCTCCTGCGACTCCCTCCTCTTTATTTCCACACATCTTTTTTTTTAAATTCGACCACGCTGGCTTACTCCCAGCACCTCCAACATAGTAACAGCCATTCAAGCGTGCAATGACTAAAACTGAAAAATAAAATAAAGAAGAAAACACATTACACAGTCCTGGGCGCCTCTTCACTTGAGTTGCATGAAAAATGATTTGAAAAGCGCTCATTCTCCCCTCGATTTGTGAAAGTTTCTTTAAATACTCATGCAGAGCTCTCTGGCAAATTGCCCTTCTGTGGACATGAAGAGAGTTGAAAGTCAACCCGATTCGTTGTGCTTTGGCTCAAATAATAAACCCCCCGAAGGTTGGATTTCTGCATAGAACTTTAATACTCATCCATATTCATAAATATTCCATAAATGGCTTAATCTCTTATTCTTCTGATTAGGTCTTAGAAATTCCCACAACACATCGCAGACTGGCAGTATCTCGCTGGCTCCAGGATACACTATCTTCAAGAGGAGGCTCACACACACACACACACACACACACACACACACACACAAAAACACACACACACCAGCATGCAAATAAAGCTGATGACGTGGGTATCAGGGGCCTGGTTATGTTTGCCCCCGATCTACATGTTTCTATGCATAAATACCGCTTGTGTGTAGGTGCATTAATAAAGCACAGTATCTGTGTCAGAGTGTGTCCAACACCCTTATCCCTGCACTCTCGCTACAACCCCAGCACAGTGAACGATGCCGAGCTGGCCTCTTAGAAGCTTATGTTGCTAGGAAGCCTGCAAAGTTTTTAACTTAACTTTTTTTATCAGCCGGCGCCACACAGGCTGCGTGGCCCGGCCTCCCTCTCCCATCCTTTCTCTGCTCTCCTGAGACCGCTGAGAGGCTTATCCCTCCCTCCCAGTCTTCCTCCCTACCTTCTTCTTCTCCTTCTTTTCGTCCTTCTTGGTGAAGAGGGTATGGACCCACCAGATCTTGGTGAACATGCTGCCGTACGCCAGGCTGAAGCCGAGGCCAAGGAGCCACAGGCGGAACTGGAGGAGGGGAGAGGAGGGGAGACTTTTAATTACAAAATGCCTTCATCAAAGGGTTTAGGTTTGGTATCAGAGGAGGCACAATGAAGTAAAAATAATATCATTCAGAGTTGACCCTAGATTGCTTTTTGTCGGCCAAAAGTGTGTAGGATTTAGGGTCCATACACATGCCACGTTTTTTGCGCCCTCAGATTCATTGTTTGCAATAAGGACGCGCAGCAGCACCGCTCAAATGCCAGAGCGACGCCGACGTGGTGTGTATGAGCTCCCAAGCGCCTATTTTTCAAGGCGCGACAGCAGAGTTCAACATTTGGAATGCAGCAGCACGCGCCACATGTCATGTGACGAGGAACAACCAATCACAGCTAGTAGATATCTTTCCCTTCTATAGAAAAATATATCATTTCAGTGCAGGGCTACTTTTCATCTGTCCAACAGATGATAGGCCTATACGCTTATAAACAGCGCCAGGAAGAAGATCAGCTCTGCACTCAGAATTTCAGGTAAATAGGCTATGATACAGTACTTGTTAAGATTGCTTAGCAACCTCAGACACAACCTCATCACTCTTGAAAGCTGGGACAAAATAGGCACAAAGGTATATATGGGGATATACTGGCAGAAATGGAAAATAATATAAAAACTATGTTTTCTCTAGTGTAAAATAGCCTGAAAATAAGAATTGCAGTGTTTTCGTTACCTTAGAATGAGCCGTTTACATCTACACAGGGAGCAGGTCTTCATCTACAGAGAACACCATGTTGCACTGCCATGTTTCTACAGTAGCCCAAAATGAACAAACCAAACACTGGCTCTAGACAGGGACATTCACATTTTCGCTACGACTGCTGTAGCTAGCAGCCCCTCGGTAATGAACAGTGTAACGTAAAACTGCTTTGAGTCAGTGTTTTACCGGTGACGGTAAAACAGACATTTCCACAGTGAAACTAAACTCCAAATAACAAAGAAAACACTAGATAGATAGATAGATAGATAGATAGAGTAGGTGATGCAGAAAAAAGAGAGATGATATAAGTTTGAGGAAATGGAGAGATTGCAGCAGAAACAGAAAAAAAAGCTATCCAGAGTAAAAGGTCAGAGGCATAGTGCAGGAGAGAGGCAGAACAAAGCATGAAAGAGAATAACTGGACAGGGACAAAGAGCAGAGAAACGACAGAAATGGAAATCTCCCTCTCGCCTCCACAACAAAAAGACTCAACATGGGTGACAGAGAAAGTACTCCCACTCCTCATTAGTGCTGGGATCCCATCGTCTGTGCTATTCTGGCACCCGGCAAATCATGTCTGTGCCACCGAATACCAAAATACATTCAAACAGATAATGAATTATGTCAGCGTTTAAACTTTCATCGTCTCTCATCCACGAGGTTTGCGTGACCAAACTCCTGAAATGAGGTTTGCAGGTGTCTGCTTGCCACAAGCAGGAACATCACAACTGTCAGGGCTTCACAACACCTATGTGGGTTTGCTTAATAATAAACTTAATGTCACAGTTGCGTAAGGCTTCACTAAAACTGACAGCTGTAGCTGCAGAGTGCAATATCTGTGGCACAAAAATATCCACAAGGTCCAGCAACACTGTAACCGATTACTGTTTGTCTCAAACACGTTTTCAACTGTCCCCAGGACGACGTTGATCTGGAGTTCTTCTTTTTAGTGTACACAACATTGATGACATCAGTGAATATCATCTTATTTGACGACAGGCAGATGGCAGTCAAGACGGCAAATATCGACCAATACCGATGTTCGGCTGATAAATCAGTGCATCCCTAATAATCAGTAATGTGCATATAATGACTAAGTGGGTAAAGAAATAAAACAGAATAGCTAGAACAATCTGGTAAGTTCAGAAAATGACATCACATTACTGTAATGCAGCCTTTAAAACCAGAGGGAGACAACACTTACGATATTACGACATGGAAAATCTAAGACGATATCTAGTCTTATCTCACAATATTGATATAAAATCAATATACTGCCCTGCCCTAATTCAATTTTGGGGATTTTTAGCAGTAACGAAGTAATATATCGCATTACCAACAGGATTTCGGGTAATATCATTACATTTACAATGTCACGTAATGTGTTACCACCTGAAATAAATTGTTTATTGTTTTCTTTGTTCACGCCGATCCACATCCCTCTACTTCCGTCAGTGCAGCAACAGAAAAAACATCATCAGGTTATCGTGTCTTGTCACGCCATGGTGCCGGTGATCGTGTGCGTCATCAGGTCCAGTGTGTTTCCTTCTGCTTTTGCATCCTAAAGCTGCCTGAAAGCAGCGGGGGATAAGATGCTGGTCTCTGGTTTGGTTTTTCCTCATCCTGGTGATCGGCACATCTGGGTGATGTTAGTATTGGATGTGTTTCTATTCCCATCCTCTACAACCGCAGAGCAACGCTGACACACCTACCCGTTCTTATGCATAACTCCACTCCGGTGTATTAATTTGTGCTCGTCATAGTGACTTGATCGCATGCTATTCTGTTTGTTGTGCTCTGTGTGTTAAAGCCTGACTGAAATGAAAGGGCATGTTTCTGCTATATGAAACCAAAAGGTGGAAATTTATATTTTATATATTCAAAGTTTCAAGTTCTCCGTCTACAACTGATGAGGGAATTCTATCATGCAGCCAATCAAATAGCTTTAAATCATATTTGCATAAAGCAGTAACATCACCGTTCTATCAGGCAGATGTTAGACTGACTAACAGTCAGACAGCAGCCTGATTCACAGCACAGGGGACACAAACATTAAACAACCCACATTTCTGTTGATGTCTCCTTCTCATCTAGCTTACCTAAAAACATGAACACACGTCTCATCCTTCACCTCAGCTTCTTCAACCAGCCACTAAACACAAAATCCACTGGTAATGTCAGTTTGCAGGCTGGTTAACGTATTAGCTGCTCAGCTGCAGCACATCAAACAGCAAATGTCACCTGTTTAGATGCTGGATGCCAGCTGCTGTCAATCATAACTGATAAGAAAATGCTATGAATAAATAAAAATTGTTTTTTAGGCTGCATAAAGTGGTGAGGATGCAACTTCAGCTGGACTTTGAGGAGTTAAATGGTTGTAACGGGTTTCATAAGGCCTTCAATCTAATAGTTTTTCATCCAAATAAGGTCTGATATTTTCATTTTTAACTGATAAAGGACAAAAACAAATGTTTAAAAATTTGAATTTAATGTCCTCTGGGCTGCTTTTGCACTCGTATTGTAAAAATAACTGTTTTGGCACTCAAATCAGTGAAACCAAATATTTGCAGACAGTACCCAGGCCTGCTCCTCATCCTGCCCTCTGGCTCTTTTCTCCCTGCGTCTGTCTCTTTGTGCTGTTACCTGGCAGACGACGGGGAACTGAGATCTGTGGACATGGTGACCGTCAATCCCTAGCGGGAACACTGCGGCCAGAGCCATCATGCAGCCCACCGCTGTCATGTTGTTCAGGTATGGCTGAGAGTTCTGGATGTAGCTGAAACAAAGACAGATTCACACATTAAGGCAAAAAAACATTTAGAAAAACACTGGTAATTATCTTTTCTGCTCAAAAGTACAATCGGTGAATAAGTAGGTAAATTGGTGTTAATTGTGTTGGCGACCTTTCTGTCTGCTCTTAGAAATGTCAACAATTGTTTTTAATTTCTCTCATGTTGTTTTTTTTTAATTCAAATTGAATCCTCTTTATGTCCTGGTTTAGACAGTCTGGTAAACAAAAGGTCCAAATGTGGATCACTGCTCTTTCCCGAGCATCTCCTTTAATGTATGACTGACAATTATTAGTCTAATTAGTGTGAAGCGCTGGAACAATTCAGCGCCCATTAAAAGCGGTGAAACATTAATTTTTTATCGTGAAAACTTCAAGTGAGAAAGAAAAAGGAAATTTCAGAAACTGGATACAAAACAAGGCGAGCATGGAAAAAAGAACAGTGACAAACTAAAGTATACTCAAATCTGACAGTATACAGACAAAATAAAGTCCATTTTGAGTGCGCAGTTGATGGATGCTCTTCTTCCACAATGCAGTGCACAAAGGAAATGGATGAGCTGCTCACAGCTGGGAAGGGACTAAATTAAAATAAGCAGTCAGTGGTGGTGAAACAGCTCCAGAAAGATCTTGGAAAATAAAAACAACAACAAAAAAAGTATTAAATCATAAAAAAGACATTTTGCTTTCTGTTTTTAACGTTCATTTGTCAGTGATATTTCAAACGTGCAGTTTAAAGCTACAGTTGGTAACTTTTGTTTGTTATATTTGCCGGAACTGTCACTACATCCTAGAGCTGCCCCCTGAGAGTCGACCTAACGCTAGTAAACCAGAAAGGTCATTAGTGGGCAAGACTTCATTGGTCACTTAGTCAGCACGCTCAGCTATCAGACAGGAGTCAGGTTACAAACCAATCACAGCCGACAGATATCTTTCCCTTCTTCTGTAAATATTCAGTCTGATAAATACGAAAAAGTTGGTCATGTTAGTGCAGGGCTACCCAGAGCTTTACATCTGTCCCACAGACGACAGGCCTTCACACTAATAAACAGCTCCTGGAAGAAGATCAGCTCTGCACTCAGGGTTTTAGGTAAATAGGCTATACGATGCTTGTTAAGGTTGCTAAACAACCCCAGACACAACCTGAGAGCTGGCACAAAAAAGGCAGAAGAGTAGTGCCCAGCGCCTGAACTCACGTTTTCCAGGCGGTTAAAGATGCTGCATGTGTGCGGCCCCTAATTTCCAGTGCTGGTACCTGCTGTTATTCCACAGGCTAGTTAATAACATGTCGGGCAGGAAATCCAAAGTGTGGGATCATTTTGAGAAGGTGAAGGACGAGCCCAAGGTGATATGTAAACTCATCTTCATTGGTCGACTACAAACATGACGTATCATCTGAAACATGGAAGTAGCTACATGCCCATTAGCCCACAGCGTCATTAACAGGTGGCTCGCTCAGTGTGTGACGTGCACTTGTAATTAAAATATAGGCCTATATTAATGAAGGTTCATTAGTACGGTTGATCTGTTGGCCGACCACCATTGTACAGTATGTGGCCCATGAACTAAAATGAGTTTGACACCCCTGGTTTAAGCACAGATTTGCACAAGCACACTGTTTGTGAATGAGCCCCAGTGTGTTGATATAATGCTACATTAGAGACAAATTCGGTATTATAAACTCCAGATTTAGGATGTTTAATATAATCTGCACTGTACCAAACACCCACCCAGCACGGCAGCTTTCCTCTGCCCCTCAGCTCGAGCTCATCCTGCAGCTGTAGGTGTGCCTTTTATATTCTTTCATCCCGCTGACCTGCCCTTGCGTTGCCTGGAGGCCACACCGCTTATTTACTGTGTAGTCACACACTCGTACAGCCTGCATACAAACACACATTATCTCACACACACTCACACATGCACACTGGCCCCAATCCAACCTTTGAAACCTCTGGAAAAAAAAACTTTAATGCTGTTACATACCATGAATTTATGATGTTCAGTGTGCTGCAGGAGTTATTTTCTGATGTGGAGCGCTGCTTTCTTCCTTTTTATGCACCATGTCTTTTGGTTGCTTTGATTTGAGGCTACTAATACATGGAACACTGGCATCTTTTTCTCCTGTATGTGGATTTCTCCCTGAAATATTGTTGAATATTTTTGAATAAAAAGAAGTTCCTGTGTGATTCCGAGGGACCAAACTCTGATGTTTGCTTTTGATATTTCGATCACCAATCTGTGATCAAATGTCACTGTAACTTTACTGGACTCATCAGAAGATCATTAACAAGCTTTAACAATAGCCGATACTTAAAGGTCTGCTACACAGGATTTTTCTAAAACACAATGTATAGACTCAGACAGAAGTAATGCCCTTCAGTCGTCATGTGTGACCCAGTAGAGGTGTGACAGTGTTTCTACCTGCAGAGACTTTTTTTTTTGCCTCTGTTGGACGGGAAGGATCCTGTGGGTGGGTGTGGGGGGGCATGCAGCAAGAGGCTATGGATTGGAATCAAGCCCATGGTGGCTGCAGCAGGGGCAAGGCTATTGTACATGGGGGTTCTGCTCTATTAGGTGAGCTAGTGAGCCCCTGGTTTTCACTTTCACTGGCAACACTGTTTACAAACAGCAACCGACAACAGCTTCATTACATGTGATGTCATACATCTGTGCACTGTCCAGATGGAGGGCAGGCGACTGGAGGCAAAGGCCACCATTACTGCACAAATGCCTTTGATTTGAGCTGTCGACTTGAAAAAACAAAGGACATTTTAAGTCCTGAATATACTGTCACTGAGAAACCGTGGATGTGTATTAAAAAACCCTCCATCTTCAGTCTGGAGGAGTGGAGTCAACTAATTGCAAACATAAGCATTAAAGCCTCGATTTGGATGCAATCACAATGTGACGTGACAAATTCTCTGTGTTTTTACTAGGGCTGCCCCCGAATAGTCGACCAAACGTTAATCAACCAGAAAGGTCATTAGTCTGCAAGATTTCATTGGTCGCTTAGTCGCAGAAAAAAATGTGAAACTCTATCAGGAGTTGCACCTTGTCAAAATAAATTAAAACCTATATGACTGGACCATGTGGGAATTTAATTTGAAATGACAGACACAGGAAGTGTCCAAGCTCAGCAGTCAGACAGGAGTCACGTTACAAACCAATCACAACCGACAGATATCTTTCCCTTCTTCACACAGCTCTGCACGCTGGATTTCAGGTAAATAGGCTATACGGTGCTTATTAAGGTTGCTTAGCAACTTCAGACAGAACCTGCCACCGCTCTCTTGAAAGCTGGCACAGAATAGGCACAAGAGCAGCACCCAGGGCTGGAGCTCGCGTTTTCCAGGCATGTGCATGGCCCCTAATTTCCAGGGCTGGTACCTGCGGTTATTCCACAGGCTAGTTAATAACATGTCGGGCAGGAAATCCAAAGTGTGGGATCATTTTGAGAAGGTGAAGGACGAGCCCAAGGTGATATGTAAACTCATCTTCATTGGTCGACTACAAACATGACGTATCATCTGAAACATGGAAGTAGCTACATGCCCATTAGCCCACAGCGTCATTAACAGGCGGCTCACTCAGTGTGTGACGTGCACTTGTAAATAAAATATAGGCCTATATTAATGAAGGTTCATTAGTATGGTTTTGTATTTCTCTGTAATGTAGCACAGTGTTAACAATGTTACTGATACTATTCTTTCTCACACCTTCAACTCAAACCATTGTGTTGCCCCGCCCAAAATATATCATCTAATAATTAAATTAATACCATAAACATGCGGGCGACTAGTTGACTAATGGCCCTAAATGATGACTATTGGTCAACTAGGAAAAACCCAGATTTTTAACCGCTATTCATCAAGTTACTGAGAATGGTTGACCGGGCAGGTAGAAAACTGTAGCTGAAGTTAGCTAATGTTAGCTAGTAACATTAGCCTGACAGCGGTGCATCCATGTACAGAGTTGAAATATAAAAAACAGTTACTCAAGCACTTTACTCAACCGGCAAAGCACTTTCATCAGCCGACTGTGTGACGTTACTCAGGTTAGGAGGTCTGGAGGATGAGGTTGTAACAGTGATGGCATCCACACCAGGCAAATCAGTCAAATTGAGCGACAGATTACTTTACTTTGTTTTGTATGGATCACATGCAACATGAGTTTCAATTTTCTGATGACACCTGCTGCCTGCAGGTCCATCCAACCCTTTCATGTTGTCACTTTCCTCCAGTGTATGGATTTATCACTTCATGCCCTCCATCAGAGTTTTGCGCATCATAATAGCCATGTGATTGCACACAAGCTATTTCTGTGTACCTTTAAGGGGGATAAATTGTGGGTGTTTTTTTGCTTTTATGCTCTTCATGTTTGTTCCTTTACGAGGCATAAGTGATGAGCGATATCTCAGATAAACGTGAAAACAAGGTCGTCCTCCAAAGAGGGAGGTTATCATTAAAAGGGTTTTTTGAAAAGCTGAAAATAATGAGAATTGATAAAGTAGACGGAGCATCAGAGGTTAAATGTATTTTTTTTATGTGAAGGTCACCTGTTTGAGGAGTACTGAATTGAAAAGACATCCTGTAACAACACCCAGCTGCTCAGGTGGAGCTGATTTGCACTCCAAGTGCCAATGTCAGTATTTATAGGATGTGAGACTGAGAGAAAAAATAATTCACATGTTCAACAGAGATCCTTTGCTCTTTTGAGGTTAATGTAAATGCTGAATGGCACCGCTGCTTCTCGAGTTTAGGGACTACAAAGTTGGCGATTTGGGTGTGGCTTTTCTCAATCTAGCAGCTGGTTTCATTGTCACAGCTTAAGCATAGCCCGAGACCAAATGCAAATAGACTTCCTTTAAAAACTGCCTTTTGATCTCGGATTTCTAAGCTTAATACAAGTCTGTGAACCCGCCGCAGCATATCTCTGATGTCTTTCTAACATAGTATTTTTATGTTTGACCCGGGTCAAAGTGATTTAAAGTCCCATAAGTCCATGAGCTTATCGGGAGTTCTTCGGAAAGCTAGTGAGGTTTGTTCCTTTGGGGATCTCTGGCTGGCTCCGGTGTGCCAGTCAGGCCTTCTTCCAGCTTTGATTATATTTCAAACGCAGTTTCACCGAGGGCTGATCTCAGCAGCCAAAACACTATGAGTCAGATCAAATCAAATCAAATTTATTCACTAAGCTGTTTTTACAAAATGAGTTTGCCACCAACTGCCTTGTTAGGAGACAAAAATACATAACCGATCCACTTTTAAAAGCAAGAAAAAGTCAAATGCTATCACAGTCTTAAATGAGCAATCCTTTAGAAACACTGTGACACTTTTTAAAGCGGTTATAATTAATATTTTTATGATGACAGTGTATCAAATGATGATGTGAAAGAAGTTGCTTATAGTGATAAACATGTTATCAGCTGAATCTGCAGCTCCATTCGACTTTACGGAGCTTTATAGTGAGTTTAAGCTCATTGTTGGCCGCAACTTGTCTCACCATGACTGCTCTCACAGTGAAGTTTTCAGGTGCAGCAAGCAGCTGTTTCCAGCAATGTTTCAGAAAACAGTGAAAAATACTCATCAAAAATTCCTAGAGCCCAAGATTGTTTCATTAAATGTGTTCTTTAGTCTGACCAACAGTCCAAAAGCCAAAGATATTCACAATTTTAGACCAAGAAAAGTTTTAAATCCAAACATTTGAGAAGCTGAAACCATTAAATATCTGCATTTTTTTTTTATTAAAAACTGCCTTGAACAGTTCATTTGTTCTCAGAATGTTTGCAGATTAATTTTCTGTCGCTTGGCCAATCGTTGCAGCTCTAATGAATCCACACACAGTATTTTAGTTTATCAGGGCAGGCCTGGGAATTGATGAGATTCAGTGAACACACCGGACGTTGCCGTTGTAGATGTTGAAGGTCAGACAGACGATGCCGAGCAGGATGCCGAGGCCAGCGAAGACGGAGACAGCTGCAAACAGCTTCTGGGACAAGAACCTGTACTCTTCGATCACCACTGTCCGATCGGCCGGAGGTCCAGCTCCTGAACGGAGAGAGTAAGAGACAGAAATGTGAAAAGAGAAAGTGCTTCTTGTGCCATTGTCTCCGAGGACACATCCCACTGCGTTAATGAGGTAAATACTTTACTTAAAGCTCCTTTCTCACCTGTGCACAAATGCCAGGGTTTGAGCCTCTCTCTCTGGGTTTCTTTTCACTTGTTACATAATTATTTCAGTCACTTTTTATACAGTTTAGTTTAGTTTATTGGCAAAGTGCAAAAATCTGGCTCATCCTGGATGGGATAGAGACCGCTATTTTACAAAACATTTATCTTCTGGTAAAATACATATTAAAAAAACAAAGAATATAAACAAACATATCTTAAAGTACTTTCATATTTTCTCATTTAACAAACTTGGAATTTCAAATGAACTTTACACTGAAAAGATGTGATTAAGATCTAAATTTCTTCAATTAACTATAATCTAAATTTTTCATACGTGAACAGCTAACTCAACCTTTGTGCATCACCCATATTTACAGAATCAATATCTATTTCTTATCTCACAAAACAAAAGTGTTAAGCAGTTCCCAGTAAACAGGGGAAACAGAAAACAAAGTACAACTGAATGCAACACCATGAATGTCTAAACATGTGTGTCGTTATCACCATAAATAAAAACATCACGTTTTTCATATTGAGTACATAGAACATAACTGTATATTCAAATAAGTGCTTGAGTGCGATTTTGAGGTACTTGCCCTAAACCTTAGTATGTCCATTTTATGCTACTTTATACACCAGACTATCACAGGGCTGACACATAGAGACAGACAACCATTCACACTCACATTCACACCTACGGACAATTGAGAGTCACCAATTAACCTGCATGTCTTTGGACTGTGGGAGGAAGCTGGAGTACCTGGAGAAAATCCAAATCAATATATCAATAATAATGAATAAATGAATGAATGAGCTTTATTTATATTTATCTATTTTATTTATACAGGCACCTTTCATGCACAGAATGCTGCACAAAGTGCTTTACAATTCAGCAGCAGATGCAAACACAGCAAGAGATAAAACCATACAATCATATGGCACTTGTTCAATGTGAAATTAAGAGAAAAAAATTAAAACAGACTACTGCTAGCCAATATCAAAAAGATATGTTTTGAAAAGTTGTTTAAAAGTGTCCACTGAGCCAGCAAGTCTAATATATAAAAGAAGGGTCTTTCATATTTTTGGCCCGTAGTGGCTAAAAGAAGCATCCTCAAAGGTTTTTGCAGTTACATAGGGAACAATTAAAAAAGCAGCTGTGGAGGGTCTCAAAAATTTTCGTCAACAATGACGAGAGGATGACGAGCTACAAATAGATCTTGATAATAAAAACTATGATGAAAACGAGACATGATATGACGTGAAGTGGTGGACCTGTCCCAGCTGACATTGGGTGAGAGGCAGGGTACACCCTGGACAGGTCACCAGACTATCACAGGGCTGACACATAGAGACAGACAACCATTCACACTCACATTCACACCTACGGACAATTTACAGTCACCAGTTAACCTGCATGTCTTTGGACTGTGGGAGGAAGCCGGAGCACCTGGAGAAAACCCACGCTGACATGGGAAGAACATGCAGCTCCACACAGAGGGGCTCCTCCTTCCTGGATTCAAACCAGGAACCCTCTTGTTGTGAGGCGACAACACTAACCACTGCACCAGCGTGCCGCTTCAATCAAAGCTGTAAAAAGGCCGCAACCCTTACTGTGCCTCATTGCCCTGCTGTATTCTGCATTTAACAATGAATGTGTATTTAATTTGTTTTAAAACTGTCTTGTCTTTGTCATTTAAAAAGCAACAACAAACCAACTAAAAGCTGACAATAAAGCTTATTTACAAAGCACTAAAATCAGAATAAATTCAGTAATTTGCAAAAACAAAATATGGCATTAATTCCTCGTAGCGCACTGTTGAGTGACCTTTAATCACAGCCGGGAAAATCCCTTCACCGCCACAGCCCTACCATCACCTCCATTGAATATTGATGATGCTGAAGCCCAGAGAAGTAAAACATGCAGTGCACTCCAACTGTTCCAATGATTCATACTTAAATGTCAATTTCATTACTATACTGTAATGTATAGCAAATAGACAACCTTGGTGTTAATTAGGGGAGAAAAAAGTGTGTGTTTATACAAACTACCCAATTATTTATGCCTGTGTATGTTTAAGGACTTCGCAGTGAGGACGGTTCAAAGAGGGGCAGATGGACAGGGAGCCTCGATTTACCCTCAACAGACTCTGACTATCTGTCTGTCTCAATCTGGGATTGCTTGCAGATTTGTGTGTCCATGTGTGTGTGCCCGTGTGAGTGAACCCGTCCCAGAGTATGGACTGTTAATGTACAGTATGCATGTTAAACACAGATACAGTAAGCATGAATGCCCAGGACGGTGCATATGAGTGCAGCGGAGCATTTCTGTGTGCATACCGGGTGTGATTAGTGTGTATGTTTGTGTGAAAGAGAGAAATGGAGGGTGACAGAGTGTGTGTGTACGTGTCAGAGGGAAAGCAGAGCAGGAGTGTCAGCGCCGCGTGAAGCTGATGTGTCAGATGTCAGAGCAAAGTGTCAGAGTGTCGCCCCCTCGAGGGTCGCAGGGTGTCAACACGCCCATCACGCTCTCTGTTTAGATGCTTGTCACTGCCGCCACACAGCCGAGGTGTGCGTGGTGTCATCTGACTGAGGGGTGACGATAGAAGAGGGTTTCTGCTGTTATATTTAACACTATAAGACCTTCTTAAAGCCACATGGAAAACAATGTATTAACTGTTCCACAATAATACTAGCCAAAGTATGAAAGTGTGATGGAAAACCAGTGGGGACGTCACAGCCTGGAAATATTTATTTTTATATCTTTTTAATTCCCAACAGTGTATAACACTGGGTACATTTAAATGCATACTATCTTATTAGCAATAGTTGGGCATGTATACATACAGTGCGCTCCATGCATTGTCATGGATGTGTTGCACACAAACCAACAATTTGCAGGGTTGTGGGGTAGAGATGCATGCCCGAAAGAAAACCCCACATTTCCGGTCAGAAGGAGAATTCGCGGTCTTTTAAACATTACTAGAGACATGAATATCAACAGGTTTTTTTTTTGTGTGCACAAATACCAACATGCTGACCTTTTCAAGATGGTGGTTGAATGTATGAAAGGGGGAGACTGTGTTCACACTGCTGAACAAGTGCGCCACCAGTGGGAAAAATTCTGGCACGAGCAACAGCCATTACGCTTTCCATATTTTGGACGTGATTACCGTACTTCCTTTATACCATATAAAAAAATGAATGCCGAAAGTTATTTCTTTAACTACTACTTTATGTTACTATTTCTGAAGTCTGCTGCTAAATTCAGCTAAGTTTCGCTCAGAACAGTTTTTAATAAATCAGAAAAAACGTGTAAACTGTGTCATTATTGCAGACGAGCAGAGGATTAGCTGGGAATCTTTAGAAGGAACAGATGTTTACCTTAAGCTAGCTCGGGCCATGTTAAAGTTAACAATATTTTAACGGCGCGAGGCAAGCTAATTGCTAGCGTGCTCGGTTGAAAAGGAAAAAAACAACAACAATGCTTTAAGATGGAAGAGGTTTGATTACACAATCCTGTTTGAGCTATAACAGGCAGTGTGTTCTGCGTTTTATTTCCCAATTGCTCTTGGAAAGAAGAATAGAGTACTGTAAGCAAACCAAGCCGGGCGTTGAACCCATGAGTCATGCACGGTATTATGGAAGCTAGGAATAAGGTGGATAACATCTCCCGGGAGCCCACAATTGGATCCAAAAACATTTTTATCAAACACAGATCAACGTCTACAGCAGGCAAAACAACATATGCAAGACTTAGGTGAATTAAATTAAAGACTTTGAGTACCTTCTAAGGTCTGGTTTCAGAGAAAACTGATTTTTTGAAGTTGAAGTTTTAAGATACCTTGAATACGCTTCAGTCTCAGCTTCCCACATTGTTCACGTGACATTAAAGAAAATGTGTTTTGTGGTTTATGTGGATGTTTTGGGAATTAGAAGTGTTTGTCCATCTGTGCAATTTACAGCATATCTACTACATGAACTACATGAGAGCACATGAGAGTACACAACAACTGTTGATGTGTTGAACAGTGGCACAAATGTGCAGTGGCCCGGACTCGTCACATATGTGTGTTTTAAAGATAGGTAAGGTAGGTAGAACCAAGTGTGACATATGCTGACAGAGTTTTAACAGAAACAAGTAGCCCAAGTGAAACTAGAACTTAAAAGTTCGGTTCAGAAGTAAAAAGAAAAGCATTAAAATGCTGCTGACATTTGTAACGGCGCTAATAAGTAAAAGTACAGCCTTGGAACAGAGCCTTTCTCGACAGTCTGCCCTGTGGCTCGCTTCAAGTGTATTAAAAAATGATCTAATATCATTTATTCAACACTTATAATGTTTTTCTGCTGCCTTTAATGGACACTGCTTCCCATAAGCCCCACAGTGGACCTTTGTATTACTGAGGCAGCAGTGATCACGGCTAAACATTTAGAAAAATAACTTCAGAGGAGAGTGTTGTTTAGTTTTATGAATATGGATGACACCAAGTTAGGATGACACACGCACCCGGACTGCCACACTTGTAAATTTTCATGGGAGCTGTAGTTTTCTGAATGCTGACAAATTAATCATTGTTTGGCGTTATTGAATTCAAAAAGGTTTGAATTTCTTACAGTTGATTTGTCCTAATATGGAGAGTAAACACCAGGAACATGCTTCATGTTTCTGAAATGCTGAATGAAATATTGCATTGTAGTTAGAGATGCTAATGGGACAGAGGATAGCCTGGATATGACATCATGACTTTGGCTTTTACATCCATTTCTGCATCTTTGCACTGGCTTACTCGATTTTAAAAATGTAATTAATGTTTACAAGGCTCAGAATGGTTAAGCACCTCCAAATTTAGTCGGCTGTCTCGCCAGGTGGCCAGACTACA